GCCCCCCCTGCCTCTGCCTCCCAAGTGCTGGGATTAAAGGTATGTACCACCCTGCTCAACTTTGAACTCTTGATTTACCTGCCTCCACCTCCTGAGAGCTGGGGTTACAAGCATGTGCCACCATGCCTACCTCACAGGTTTTTTTTTTTTTTAAATAGCAATTATTTATATTTTCAAAAAGAAAAAAATTAACATTTGGAAGTTCTCCCCTGTAGGAAGAGGGGCTAATTAGAATGAACAGGACTGGCTCCGATGCAGGCGGTAAGTCAGGTATGAACAGCAGGGCATTCTAGGCTGGGATTTTTTTTCACATAGCAATAATAATAAAATTTTCTTTTATTTTTGTTTTATGTTTTTTTGTTTTTGTTTTTGTTTTTAGACAAAGGGAGGGGGAAGGGAAGAGAAAATCAGAGAAAAATGCCAAAAAACATTTCCCACGAGGAACCATATTTCTTGTCAAGACTGAATTCTGGGAGAAATTTTTTCCAGTTTTCAACACCAATAAAGATTTCTGCAAAAGTCACTACCATCAAAACACTCATCTTCCAGATCAAATAACCTCCCTCCCCTTTGCCTTCACATGTCACTTTTCATAAGAAGATAAAAGGATGTATTCTACTCTTGCGAACAGTAAGTGTTAACAAGCAGAGAGCTTTTCTGATACTTGTATGGTAGTGAAGTTTTCACAAACATCCCAGGTTTGGCACAGTTCGAAGGGCTAAAATTTGTTTCCCTCAACATGGACCCCACAAACTGATTTTTGAAAAAATTCTTTCTTCTTTCCTTTTTCCTTCTCTTAAAAACTAAACGGCCCTTTTCCCCTTTTTGCTCCAGGCACCTGCGGGTTTGTTCTGCTCAGTCAGATGTAGGCAGGCTTCTCCGAAGTACCTCTGCCGGGGTGTGCTTGGAGCCAACGCCCAAACTGAATCCAAGTGCCAAACTTGGCCTGACCGCAGGGAACACGGTTACACAGCAACAGGATTTTCATTAGGTTGAGTAGCCCCGAGTCATGCCGGCGTGCCCCCCCCCCAAGTCCCCTAAGTTATTTAGTGCTGCTTTAAAAGTCTGGGGCCACGATGCAGTCCTCCCTGAAAAAGTAAAAGCTCCACAGATTGCGCTGTCTACCTGGTGGTCAGTGGCAGCAACAGTGGCTGCTGCTTCTGGAAAATAAATGAAGTCTGACAACTGGCAGGATCTTAGGATTGCTTCAGGCATTTACGTGGGGACCCCAGGAAAGGGCACTGTGCTGAAGCCAGAGCGCAGTGTGCTTCAGCCACCAAGTGCGGATGTGACACCACCATTGATGTGACACCACCATTGACAAACCCACAGGTCTCCAAGACATCCGAAGCATGATAGTTGATGAAATCCACTGCTTGAGTTTTCAGCTGATCAGCACTGTGGAGGTGAGCCAGGATGAAATTTTTTGCAGCGTTCTCCACAGGTTACTGCAGAGGGCATCCTCGCACATGACCTTCATTCAAATGCTCCAGGGCATACTTGTCAGCAGCTGCCACCAAATCATCAGCCATTCTGTCGAGATTTGGTGCCATCCCAGTGTAAATGAAGCACATCATTTCCTTAAAAACTTCAGGCTCCACATCATTCATTTCAACTCGATTCTTTTTACTTTCCTCCATTTCATGTTCAAACACGGCACTTAAAACAGGAGAACGAGCTGCTAAGATAGCCTTGTGAGCCTGGAATTCTTGGCCAGCCACACACAAGCAGCAGTCTGTGAACCAGAATTCTCCCACAGCTCTCCTAACTCATCTGCCAGTCGGCACTCAGGAACCTTTACCATGTTCATGGTATTCTGGCCAGAAATATTGACGGAATCTTGAACCACACCCACCTCACAGAAGAGGGTGAGTTTGTCATCAGGGGAAAGCCCATTGGCCTCCTCCAAGAGAAAATCCCTACGGATGAATTTTTTAAATCCCCAGTCTTTGCCTTGCACAAACCTATAAGCTCATTGACTCTCCGTAGCTTTGGTTTCTTCTCCCTTGGCATTCAGAATGGAGAATTTGAATTTTGCCTGAACTTCGCTCTTTGGACAGCTGACCAATAACAGGTAAAGTGACAGGTAGTCTTTGCTTTCTTCATCTAGCCCTTTGGGGTTTACTTGCAAATACCATTTCAGTTTATCATTGGCCCCTGATGAAAAAATTGAACTTTTAATGACTTCACCCATTTCCTCCTGGCAAAAACTAAAGTTATTAATGGTCCATAGGTAGGAGAATTTCATTACCTTGATCTGTGTGTAGCACCAGCTTTCAGCTACAGGACCACTCGACATTTCTGCCGGAGGTGGCGGACTTGTTGGAACCCTTGACACCGCCAGTTTGAAGGTTAGACTAGATTTCCAAAGTCAGGCAGCAAAAATTTGTTTTTCTTCACCCAAGTCAGTAGGAAAACTCTAATTTGTCTTGTCTAGCAGGAAGTCTCAAGTAGGGATCTTTTGACTAGTACAGCACAGTATACATGATCTCAGGCTAGTAGCTTAAAAACGTTTTCACGTCTCAGATTTTTTACCTGAGAGCAGTGTTTCTGGGGGCTTGGGCTTTCTGTCCTTTTTTTTTTTTTTTTTTTCAAATTATGCAGTTTTGAACTCAGAAGTGGGGCTAAAGGTGAGAAGTCTAGAAACTAAATTAGATCCAACTTGCTAAATCGTTCCTTGATTCCTGACTAGAGATTGTGCTCTTAATGCTAGGTTGCTATAAGTTTTGGGGTAAATGTGTTACATAATAATGGATAACTGATACACGCAGAGAAGCTGATGCATTGTGATTTAGACATGTTGAGGTGGATGTAACAATAGAAAGGCAAAAGAAGCAGTCAAAAAGGCAGAATGAATCTGAGACTCAGAAAAAGAAGGTTTTGGTAGGCCTCATATAGAGAAGGTGGCTAGTCATTTGTTTATCCATTAGTTTATTCATCCACCCATCATCCATTCATCACCCATCCACCCATCCACCCATTCATCTATCATCTAGCCATATCCCATCCATTCATCCTCCATTCATATACTCATCTTCCATCCATTCATCTACCCATCCTCCATCCATTCATCCTTTCATCTATACGTCATCCATTCATCCATCTATCATGCATTTATATATCTATCATCCATCCATCTATCATTCATCCATCTACCCATTCCAACAGCGGAGATATAAGAAATTAAAAGGCCAGACCTGGGGCTGGAGAGATGGCTCAGGGCTTAAGAGCCCTGGATGCTCCTGCAGAGGACCTGGGTTCAGTTCCCAGCACCCACATTGTGGCTAACACCCATGTGTAACTCCAGTCTCAGGGGATCCAACACCCTCTTCTGACCTCTGGGGGCACTGCACAACATGGGTGCACTGACATACATGCAGGCAATACATCCATCCATACAAAATAAAATCATAATAATAAATAAAATATTTAAAAATAAATAAACAAGGGCTGGAGAGATGGCTCAATGGTTAAGAACAGAGGCTTTTCTTGCAGGAGACCTGGGTTCTATTCCCAGCACCCACATAGTGGCAAACAACCATCTGTAACTCCAGTTCCAGGGGATCCAGCATTCTCTTCTGACCTCCTCAGGCATTTCATGACACAGGTGCACTTACGGTTCAGGCAATACACTAATTCACATGAAATGAAAATAAATAAATAAGTAAATAAATAAACAAGCTGGGCGTGGAGGTGCATGCCTTTAATCCCAGCACTCAGGAGGCTGAGGCAGGCAGACCTCTGTGAGATCAAGCCAGCCTGGTCTACATAGTGAGTTCCAGGTTAGCTGGGGCTACAGGGAGACCCTGTCTCAAAAAGACCGAAAAAGAAATAAATCTGAGACCTAGCCCCTGTTCTCATGGAGCAGAATGGCATGTGATATCTATTACTGTAGAGGAAAAAGCCTCAGTTTGGCTTCAGACATTTCAAATTTGGGGTAAAAGCAGAGTACATAATAAAGGAGCTCTTTAAAGAAGAGAATACAGAAAAAGGAGTGTTTAGTTGTAGAGACAACCTGAGGAAGGAAGGCTGGGAGGAAGAGGAGAGAACAGAAGTGAAGAATGTAAGGAGAGAGTGGGAGACAGGCAAGGTCCAGGGGCTGTAAGCAGAAGGGAGAGAAGGCCGTGGTCCTCTCAGGGCTCATGGGGATGGGCTGTGTGGGTCCTACCCTCAGGGCTCATGCCGACGGCTACATGTGCCTTTCAGCTAAAGTCAGAATGCCTGCTTTCTTCCTTCTCTCCTCTAATAGAAATGGGATACTTATTCTCAATTTCACTTTTGAAAATGGGAACTGGAACTAACAGAGAAAGAGGTTAAATATATTTGTTTTAGAATTTCTGTTTTAAAAATAAGATTTTAGCCAGGTGTGGTGGCACACACCTTTAATCCCAGCACTCGGGAGGCAGAGGCAGGCGGAACTGGATCTCTGTGAGTTCAAGGCCAGCCTGGTCTACATAGTGAGTTCAAGGACAACTGGGGCTACAGGGAGACCCTGTCTCAAAAAGACCAAAAAAAAAAAAAAAAGATTTCATTTTTATTTATTATGAGTATGTGTGGGTATGTGTATGTGAGTGTAGGTGCCCACAGAGGCCAGAAAAGCATGTCAGATTGCCTGGATCCAGAGTTACAGGGGTTATGAGCTGCCTGACTTGGGTGCTGGGAACTGAACCCAGGCACTCTACTCCTAACCACGGAGTCATCTCTTCATCTCCTAGGATGCCTCTTGAAAGGATATGAGTGTATTTGGTATTATCTGATGCAGTAAGCTGTCTTTCTGCCTTGAAAGACCTTTTCTTTAGCCCATTGCTAGGCTCCAAACCTAACCAGTTGAGAATCATTCTTTTGGGTCTTATATGCTTTGGACCAGGATGACCTTATCTGAAAACTCCAAAGAATGAAGAAGTAAGCACAGCTTTCCTACCTTTCTCAATCTTCTTGGTTAGAGCCTTGACTTGATCCTGTAGCTTCTTAATCATTCTGTTCTTCATGTCTAACTCTTCTTCGAGATCCTTCAGAAACCCAAAGAAACAAGACATTATCTCAAAAGCATCTTTGTCTGGTTTTTCTTTGGTCTTGGTAACAGCTTTATGGAGCAATATTTCTTTCTTTTTAAAAAGATTTATTTATTTTTATTTTATGTGAATGAATGTTTGCTTGCATGTATGTCTGTGTACCGTGTGTGCAGTGCCTACAGAGGCCAGAAGAGGGAGTTAGATATGCTGGAACTGGAGTTATAGATGGTTGTGAGCCACCATGTGGGTGCTGGAAACTGAACCTGGGTACTCTGCAAGAGCAGCCAGTACTCTTAACTGCTAAGCCATCTCTCCAGCCCCAAGGAGCTACATTTCATATACTATAAAATCCACTCACTGAAATGGTTTGCATAGCAGAGTGGTGCTTCAGTCAGAATTATCAAGCCCAGATATTTTCACTGCTCTAGAACATGACAGGTGGGCCAGCGGGCTGGCTGAGATGGTAAAGGCAATTGCCTCCAAGCCTGATGACCTGAGTTCAATCTCTGACACTTACATGTGGGTCTCCTAGACCTCTACACAGACACAGAGATACAGACATAGACACACAGACACAGACACATATTCTGAAGGTGGCAGGCTTACCCTCAGCAATCCCTGCACACAGGTGGGAATGTATCAACCCTCTCCTCACCCTGTTTTCCAAAGTGAGCCGAGAGGCTTCCTGCTGGAAAATACTCTTGGCTTCGCTGTCAGCTTCAGGTTGTTCCTCCAGGAGCTTGCTGGCCTCTTGCAGTTCTTGGATCTTATCCATCAGCCTCTCTTTCCCTTTGGTTCGCATTTTATTCTGCACTGCATTGGCTCTGAGAAAGGGACAAGGGCATTTCAGTGTAGCCACCTGAGTATTGATGGCTATGCAGAGGGAAAAGCCCTGGCCAATTCCCACTGAACACGTACTTGCTCTGAGCTCCTTCCTCTTCTCTGACTTGACTCAGGTGAGCAGCTGGCTCTTCTGGCTTCCCTATCATGAGAGAACTGTCGGTGCTGTGGCCAGCTAGATCACTGCCTTAGTTTGGGGTTGGCATGAATCAGAGGTCCTAATCGATACCCAGTCAGAGATTAGGTTTTCTTTGGTCTCAACAAGGTCTAATTTTTTAAACCAGTATTTAAGTATGATGCTATTTTACATGAACGTCTAGATTTCTGGACTTTCTTTAAAAATAGTCACATCAGGGTTAGAGAGATGGCTCAGGGGTTAAGAGCACTGGCTGCTCTTGCAGAGGACCTGGGTTTGATTCCCAGCACCCACATGGCGGCTATGAACTACCCTTAATTCCAGTTCCAGGGGAATCTGAAACCCTCTTCTGACCTCCATGGCATTGCACGACATGGTGCACTCACATAAATTCCAGCAATGCACTCATACACATAAAATAAAAAATAAATAATAAATAAAATATTTTAGAAAACAGTCATATCTAGCAACACATTTCCACTTTGTTAGACCCCAATGAAACTTTAAGGAAGCTGTTCCTTTAATGCCACACCCCTCCTTGTCCTCCACCCAACTAACTTCTCACCTCTGTGTTACCTGCCTGGCCCCAGCAACCAGAGCCTAAGGCCCTCAATGCCATGGCTTTCCACCAATGCCATGGCTGTCCACGCATTTCCTCCATGGTGGAATCTCTAAGGGCAGGGCCAGGGTGGTTCTGGTTACCTTTCATTTTCTCATTTTGCTCAGTCAGACGGATTTCAAGATCTTGCTTTTGTTTTTCTAGCTCTGAAATTTGCTGCTTAAAGTCTGGGATCATCTTTAGAGAAGAATTATAATTATAAATATTAGATTATCAAATATTTTCACCTCTGAACTTCACAATCTCTAAAACAAATACTAAACCATCTCTGTGTTCAGCCTGTGGAACACACAGTAGAGTAAAAACACAGTGGAAGCACTGAGATTGATTGACATTATTTCCTTTTGTCACCCCTTAACTTCAAGACCTATACAGTGGTCTCCAGAACTACCAGCATGCTCAGAAAGTGATTCTCACATGGCTACCCTGGGAAGGAAAGATGTGTGCTGTGGGGAGGGAAGGATGCCTCATGCGGAGCTGCAGGAGAGGCATGGGACAGTCCCCCCCAGCCTCTTTTGTCCTGTCCTAGAAACACCTTCTCATCTGGAGTCCATGGCTGCTTCTGAATCCCAGGCTGCACTGCTTTGTTGGTGGAGATCTGGAACTGTCCAGTATGCCCCACAATCCCTTCTTTTCTTTCTTTCTTTTTGTTTTTTGTTTTCGTATTTTGAGACAGGGTCTTACTATGTAGCCCTAGTTGGCCTGGAACTCACTATGTAGATCAGACTGGCCTCAAACTCAGAGATCTGCTTGTAGAGTGCCCGGATTAAAGGTGTGCACCACCATGCTCAGCATCTCTCCTTTTCTATCTGTACATTTCTCTGAATGTCCATCCCTTCCACCCACAGGCAGGTAAAAACTGTTTTTCTGTTGTCTAAGTTTATATAGACACCCAGGCCTCTGAAACTCAAAGAATACCTCTTAGTGGGTCTCTCTACCAGTTCCTCATTATAGTTCACCTTAGGAATACTCAAGTTTGTGAGGGCCCTTGGCATAGGTTGAGTTCCTGTGTGCTCACTGGGGGTGCAGCCCTGAGATTCCCCAGCTCTCAGGTTAGACCAAGGAGGAGGCAAGAAAGAAGCAGAGAAGCAGTGCTAGTGAGGTAGGAGGAGGAGCCTAGGGGAGTGTGGTGGTCTGGAATCCCAGAGACCAAAGGAGGAGGGAGCAGCGAACATCAGCAGAAGTTGCTGAGGGGCACATGACAGAATGGGGTGAGGCAGAGAAAATGGAGCTGGGGGTGAGTGGAAAGATGGTTAGTGACCTTTGAGAAGTCAACTCACAAAGAAATGGGGTAGTGGCCACATCACGAATAAGGAGTGTTTATCTGCAGATCCTGAAAGTGTCTCGCCACACCAGAAAGTGTGAGTGAGAAGAAAGGATGAGATAAACCCAGTAAGAAGGGGTATCACAGAAGAGGAAGTATCTGAACAGGGGAGATCCAGAGGACAAACAGCAGGACTGACAGGAGCATGCCTTCTCAAGAGCCAAGTTTGCTTTGGTCTGTTTTGCAGGGGGCTAGGGCTAGATTTAAATATATAAATTTAAGCACACTCAAGAATTTGAACCCACCATATGGTAATCAAATACACTTTCAAATCAGAGTATTCTCCAGCCTGGGGTCCCTGTATAGTTTTATCTTCTGCCCCAGTTATTTCACTCCTAGAAAAACTAGTTTAATGTCATTGTTTTACTGCAAGCAACTGATTTTTCCTCCACAAGTGGATGATGTCTAGGACAGTAGTTGTGAGTGGGCCGTGGTGAGGCCATACCATGTTTTCTGATGTCAGCCTGGTGACTTCATGACGGATACTCTCATTGATGTCTGTCTCTTCCCTAAATAATTTCTGCAGGTGGTTGATTTCTTGACTTAGATGCACCACTTTGAAGTTCAGAGCTTCAATCTCCTTTTCATAGCAATCTTTCTGAGACTGGAAATGACTCTCCAGGACACTGTTAAAGGAGGGGCAGAGGAATAAGTATGTGGCCTTCATTATGTTGCACTGACCACTGAGGGTATGCGTGAAACAGTTGAAAAGGCCACAGTTAGCATCTCACCCTCAGTACCTACAGCTGCTTAAGTATTCACAGAGACAGGAGATGGAGTAAGTAACTGTAACTGGAAGATCCTTTTGGTCATTACAAAATGTTGTGTAGGATGACTGTAGTGGGTTTTCTCCTAGGGCCAATGTGCTAAATGGACACAGTATTAAATCAACTCCCAATGACTTATCTTTATATTTATAGATTAGTGCATCTCTCAACCCTCATCAGAGAAACTTATTTTTCTTTAAAAATATTTTATGATTTTTATTTTATGTGTATTGAGTGCATTGCTTGCATATATGTATGTGAACTCATGTTGGGCAGTGCCTGTGGAGGTCAGAAGACTGTATCAGATCCCCTGGAACTGGAGTTACAGATGGCTGTTAGCCACCATGTGGGTGCTGGGAATCGAACCCAGGTGCTCTATAAGAGTAGCCTGTTGGGGACCCCTGTTGTGTAAAGTAGCAGTCTCTCCATGTCCGGATAGCCTATGGGCTCAGCTTCATATGCAGAGACTCCTTTTATCAGCAGGGTGCCTTCCTGGCATCTTCCTGACTCATCTTTTGAAGTAGCCGTCACAGAAACATGGCCTCCGGCTCTGAAACTGCCAGGTTTTCCTGTGTGATTTTCAGGCAGTCTGACAGCCTGGCAGGAGCCAACCACCACATGTAAATGAGGCATCCTAAAAGCACCTACCAACTAAGGTTTTGCCACTGCCCCCACAGTATAAAATATCCTGCTTTCCCCTAATTAATCGAAGCTGGATCACTAAGGCCTGGAGCTGAGCTGAGTCACAGAATAAAGGGGCTGTACCACTGACTGAGCTGAGTTCTGTGTCTTACTGCCTATGATCCAGCCTTCCCAGAGAGGGCTGTCTCTTCGTAAGCCATGACTCATGGAAACCCAGCTTTTGCCGTCTCCGCACCTTCCCACGCGATCCAGCAGCTGACAGATCTCGTATCTCAAGGAAGTGCACAGTGGATTGGGATGGAACCCGACTGGGCCAGACCCGGTAGCAGAGAGCCTCAACAACGTGGAGAAGCAGGGACCCGCCTAGGAGTGCAGCGATCAGTAGAGTCGCCAGCACCCAGTAGACGTGGAGACCCACAGCAACGCGGTGCAGGACATGCGTGCACCCCAGCAACGCGGTGCGTGACCCACCGCACCCCAGCGGCCCGTGGGAGACCGGCGCCACGCCCAGCAGCTGGCGCCCCGAGATCCCCGCACGCCCATATCTGGTGCCCAACGTGGGGCCTCTGAACCTCGTGCCAGCTAGCAGCTGGTGCCCTCTGAAATGCAGGATTCGTGAGTATCTCTCCCCACCAGGAGGGCAACACAAATCTCTTCTAATTTCCTCCTTTTGTTTCCGGTCTAAAGTCTTCGCGTGAGGATGGTAAAGACAGAGGAGCAACTGAGGTTTTCTGGTCAGGGCTACTCCCTGACGTTAGCTGAAGGCCTCTCTGCCCCCTAACGACCTCCGACTGCCTGTACAGGAGTAGACAAAGGACCTTCTATCTAAACATCTTTCTAACATAAAAACCTGGTGACGCAGCAGCCACTTAAGAGTCATTAGGACAGCCGCCAGTTCCTTAAATCTGCGGGAAGGCCTGTGCTGGGAGCCAAGTGGAATCCCCTAAGATTTTAATTTCAGGCACGTTCCCTTGGACACCATCACTTCACTACTTTCCT